TAACCAGAGTCCTTTAGTATGAAGCTGTTCTTCAGCAATAGAAGAATCTCTTTAAAATCTGAAAGTGCACTAGCAAGGTAAGTCCCTATTTAAGGATAGGATTTGTATTATAAAAGCTGTCCTCAAACACTCCTGGGTACAGATGCAGTTTAGCATGCCTTTTTGACCTATTCTAGAAAAGAATTCCTGATAATTTTGTTACAGACATCTATCAGAATCTCTACAGTTTCAGAGCACCGCCTATCCGTTCCTGGTTTTCGATAGCCCTTCAGCAGACCTGTCTCCTGCCTGTCATAGACAGGCACCATCTGTAGCGGTTGATTTTCCAGCAGTTCAGGTAGGAGGGTGCACTGGAGCAGGCTCTTCGGATGCCTGGCTTCATGCTGTCTGTCAGTTTCTGCTCTGTTTATTTGAGAGGAATGTGGTCACCTGGGCTTTCTGTACCCTGTACCTCATCATTGGTCAGGCAGGACACATGTTGCACAAGTCTGAGTAGAAACAACAGCACAGTGATTTCACAGCAGTTGCGTTGTGGCAGGGCACATGTCTCTGAGAAGTATGGGAAGTGGTATAATACCTCCTAGTGCACCAACTACAGGAGATGTTTCCCCCCCAAAAAAAACCCCAAGGCTGAGGGACCCAAATTTGTCACTGGACCAGGAGATTGCAGTCACTTACAGCAAGACCAAAGACTTGCCCAGGAGCGGTCCCAGTTCAGAGACCTGCTGTGGTCTGTGGTTGCAAGCAGTGCCTGGAGAGGGCTTGGCAGCAGCGGTGCCAGCATCTGTGCTAGCTCTGCACAAAGGGAGTTGTTGGAGTCTCTGCTCTCCGATCCAGCAACACACCACACACCAGCCCTGCTCCTGCAGGGATATGGGTTCTGTGTACACTGGCTAGCTTTCACTCATTTCTCTTCCATCCTTCACACTGTGAGCTCTAGAAGCCCTTTAACAGTTTAGTATTGTAGTTCCTCCATAGCAACACCTTGCATTAGTGGCAGAAGAGAACAGGAAATAGTGTTCCCCATTTATTCCAGTTTCTTTTGTTCTGCTGGATTTGAAATCCTATAGTTCCACTTCTGTCTTCCTTGATCTGCCTCCTTTTCTGTCCTGCAATACTTGTGTGGATCCCCTCTCCCCGCTCTACAAGATGAATCTTAAGAATCTGGTTCAGGGCCTGCAGAAGAGAAAATAAAAAGTGCAGGACACTCCCTGACCCCTACTTGAGCACAAAGTTTAATTCTTTCTAGAGAACATCTGTGAATTTTATCTCAAAGCACCCATTTCACCATAGCCGAAAAATTGTGTCAGTATAGGATTCAAAATGTCATTGCGGGTTTTTTTTGTTTTGAGACAGATGCTTATCTCCTTGTGCTAGACTCTGGCAGTGTCCTTGTCGCCTCCATTAAGGCTGACCTATATATCCCAGCAATCACTTGCAACATTGCTCAACATTTGCATTTCAACGTGGTTTCTTCATTTCCACTTCCTTTTTTGTTTGGGTTTTTTTTTTTTGGGGGGGGGGGGGTTTAAGACTTGAACATAACATTTACACATTTCAGATCTGCTTTAGGCTTCCCTTGCCCGTGTGTTGCAACCGCAGTGCACCGGAAGAACTTTGGAAGTTGCTATGCCTGCCACAGAGAATTCTGGAAAGTTGAGGCATACGCAAAGCCTAGATTATACCTCCCTTCTGCCAAGTTTAAGCTTTGGGGGATTATCTAGAAAAAAGCAGCACACTGACTCTTAGAAGAACCCTTTATTTATGGCTTATTTTCTCTTTTCAGTCTAAATATCAAAAGCAATGCTCAGGCTTCAATTCTGACTCAGAATTCTCTCCTTTTTCAGAAATGTCAGCACTCCATGAGAACAGCTACCCAGACCCTAGGTACTCCCCAATCCAAATACTGGACAATATATGACTAAGGTCTGAAGCAGACCCAAGCAAATACATCTCAGCCTTTTTGCCAGAGGCCAAGCTCCCCAGGAAAAAACTCTTTGGTGAACAGATCACCAGTCCCTGCAGCAGTTACATCCTAAATCCTACAGACAGCACTATATCAAGCCTTTTCCAGCCTGGCTGAAAGTTGCTTGCTGCAGAACATTTCATAATGATTCTCCTGCCCTTCTCCCTTTGAGCAGACAGGATGCCAATACAGGCTACATTTTCCTTGCATCCCTCTCCCTCCCTTGGCCTCGCAGGAGCGCCTCAAAAGAAGAGTGGTAACTTCCCTTTGGAAAACAAAACTGTGGGCTTCTGCTCTCACCGTTGCCTTCCTTCACAGAGCTTCATGTGACAGTTTCATTGCTTGCTTGGCAGCACTATACACAAAACCTACAATTTCTGCCATATCACATAAATCCTTTCAAAATTTATATTCTTGGGATGATTAAATTTAAAGAGAATGATCAATAGCAGGTCTCATGGTGTTGACAGCACTTTCATTCCAATTAACTGAATTCCAAGTATGAAAAGGCTATTCCTGGCTCAGAGATGAGCACTGTAATTGCCTGTATGATTAGCAGTTAAGGACCAGTACTACCGATACAATATAATGCGTCTTGCTTACCTAGCTCAAACTAAGGCACAGTGGCTTTAGAGTGGTTCAAAAAGTAGCTTGGGCTGCACAAAGCAACTGGTATTTAAGAAATAGCGCACATTAGAGTACTCAAAAGCACCTTCAGTACCAGCTGAGGAGCTGCAGCCATGAGAATGAACAAACATGGTACTAACACAAGGAGTGGGAACTCAAATGTGCCCTTCAAAGTAGTCTAAGACTAGCTTTAAAAAGTAAAATTAGAGCCTACAGTAGCAGCAAGCAGCTGGAACAGAGCTGACAGGATGACCAGCTCAATGGCAGGTCCTGCATTTAAACAAACTCCATACTGCCAACTTCAGACTGATTACAATATAGCTACCTAGGTATACTTGGCATGCAGACATTAAACACTTACAATTAATTATACAGTCACTTTAAACAACTAGCTCCTGTGAAACTCTGCACCAGTATCTGAAGTAGACTACTAATCTGATTAAACCTCTGAATTAAGTAAACTAGGAATGCGCTAATTCAATACAGACCAGTAAGAAGCTCAAACTGAAGTAAATCCTCACCGAAAAGTCTATAGCATGACTAATTTTCACTTGGTTCAAAATGAAGAACCCACAGCCCACACAGCCTAATCTTGCAAAAGCATTGGGAGTCCTAGTAATAGACAGTAGATGTGCAACATGTTTTATCCTTTTTCTTTTTTTTTTCCTCCTTAAAAGGCCTTACTGAAACACTCTCTACAAAGCTGCAACTTGAGTTACCTATTGCTGATAAAAGCAGGTGAGCCCTCTCAAACTTTCTATTACTACAGTGCTTGGCCTATTAGAATCACAGTGTAGTATATTTTTACCCCAGATATATTGTTCTTCCATATGACAGAACCTCTCCAAGAGGTTCTTCAGAAAAAGTCTGTCACATTAATGCTTCCCATTTACTTTAAATTAATTATGGCAGCTTTACTCTTTTGGCAGAGCTGAGCTCCTTATTTCTAATAGTACATAGAGACGCCTTAGCACACTTCATGATCACTGTATGTTGTAGCAAAGATGTTGCAATTGACCAGATAATTCATGCAACAAGTCTCAGAAATGGAGCTTAAGCATCTCCTTAAGAAATAAGGAAATTAATATAAAAAGACTTAACAACTGTAAATCGGTAATCAGAAATTTCAGAGAGTGATTTGAAATATCAGGGAACCTATTGCAGCATTGTTTTTTTAAGGAGTATTTTAACATTTTAAACCTCTTAGTATTGTTTAGGACAAGCAGAATCCCATGAAGTGGCTTACTCTATTTCAACTGCTTTATGTCCAAGACAGCTGAAAACAATGCAAACTTCTAAATAATCCCAGAGCATTTACCTTTGCCTTACCTTTGTGTTTGTTAACCTTTCACTGCAAACTGGTCCCTGCAATCTGACAGTAACCTGACAGTGGTCATTCTTCTTCCTGCCACATACATAATTTTTCTAAGGTGTAGTTTAGTTGTAAATATTCTACTATTAAATGTACTACCCCCTTTCTTACTGTAGATCATGCTTCCTGCTGAAGTTCTGGGGTACTGCCTTCCATATAAAGTGATCGCAAAACAGTCAAAGAAATTTAAAACATATAGACTATCACGTAACAGTTTACTTACAACATTAGGGTTCATGCCTATCAAACAGGATGCTACAGCTGTATTTTAATTGTTTGCATAATAAAGTTGTACAGCTTCATCAGACGGATTTGATTCTCATCAAAACACTGCAAGTGTGTTACAGAATGTTCAATAATTAGACTACATATTCTTGTCAGAGAAACTGGCAATGCAACTCTCCCTTTCTATTTATTCATCTTAATCACCCAGATTAACTTTAAGTGCCATTAAAAGTAATTTTAAATGACTGTAACATATACTAAACTGGATTTTCTGGACTTAGGCAAAGCTGCAGCATGTTAGTCAATTCAACATGAAGCAATGTTCGGGATCTCCAAGTCACAAACAACTTCAACCCCTCCAAATCTGACATATGCAGTAAACAAGACAAATTAATTCAATGAGCAGATCTTTTCTGCAAGTGGAAAAAACATCTCCTAACAGTAGGGAAAGTTAAGCACATTAGAAGACGACAAGATGAAAAAAGTAGTTTTCATTCACATTGCTGTAGTCTGGAAGAATTCCTTTTACCACAAGAGCAAATGAGTTTCTGAAAAGTAGGCAGTTCTAAAAAAGATTCAAGCCAGAGATTAACCACCTGTTTTAACAAGGCTCGCTATTTGGTTTAGGAAAATCAATCCATACAAGGTGATCTTCCAACATCTGCTTTCGAAAGACAGTTAAAACTAAACTGTTACAGACTTAGGCCCACTGTTACATATAGAAGGCTGCCAGCACCCATTCTGTTCAGCTGAGCTAATACTAAATAGAAGTAGCCACACCTACGAAGCCACAAAGAATAAATCCATTCAAGAACCACTGTTCTTTGTTTTATTGAATGGTTGAAGCAGGACTGTAATCCAGGTATACTTAAATCAAGTGTTGGTCCACTCTTATCATGAAAAAGAAGTGATTTAGGTTTTTATAATAACATCAACACAAATGGAAGGAATATGAAGCATCATACCAGGAACTTTCAACTGTATGTGACGTTAGACCATGATCAGACTGGTGCTACTTCAGTATTTACAGACCCTCCACTGTATAGACCAGCCACACTAGTGTTATTTACCTCCAAATCAGTAAAGTTCTAGGTAAAAGATCCTTCTGTCTACAGCTCACATCTGAGCCATCAACATGAGATCAAAATGCAATTTGTGCCACTAGAATCACAGTCTTGTAGAAATATTTCTATATTTAGTATTTTACTAAAGAATAATTACTATCCTCTCTGAAGTTACATATAGCCATTATAAATATTTACATCAAACATTTACAACTGGTTCATAATATACAACACAACAATTTAGCTATAATTTCTAATCTTCCAGTGTAAAAGTTTCAAACAACATGTTGCTATCATAATTTCAATTTATCTGTTTTGCACATAGTCACAGGCAGTATAGGGCATTTCAAAAACTCATGTTACATGATAAAAAAATGGAATGATGTTACTTTGATAACATTTACTTTGGGGATTGTTTTGTTGGTTTTTTTTTTGTTTCGGGTTTTTTTTAAACAAGCAGATTTCAATTTCTAAATCCTTTCTGGTGCTACTACTAACATTTAAAATAGGCTTGAGGGGGGGGGGGGAAAAAACCCCAACTTAGAAATAAATACACCTTTTAAAAAGTTCCACAATTAACCATGGCAGAATATTTGTTTTCCACACAGTTTAAAGGAGACCTTACTCTTCATCATTTCCTTGCGCTGAAATACAGTGCGGTTTAATCCATTCTTATCTTCTGATTCGTCATCCTATAAATAATGCTGTCATACCCAGGATCCATGTTCCAGAGGTTGTAGGAGATAACTATCACAGCTAAAGCAAGACCTATCATCATCCACAGAATAATGTTGAAGATTACAGAGTAGTTGTAGTTGTATGGATAGGCAAGGTTATATGGATTTTCTGTTTCGCTCTGTAATAAAGAAAATGCGTATTACTTTAAAGTTAGCTTGCATACAAAACACGTTCTGACTACATCGAAAATCTGAGCAATCTGAATAGCTGAGATGCATTTTTGTCTAGTCAATTCTGATGCTAGGGCACAAAATGCAAAAGAGATTATGTGACTGACATTCACGGAATCCAAAGGAATGGGCTGACAGGAACCTTATGAAACTCAAAGCCCTGCACCTGGGACAGAATAACCCCATGTGACAGCACAGGCTGTGGACTGACCGGCTGGGCAGCAGCTCTGCAGAGGGACCTGGAGGTCCTGGTGGACACACTGAACAGGATTCAGCAGTGTGCCCCTGCAGTGATGCAGGGCAACTGCATCCTGGGCTGCATCTGGACTGTAGGCAGCAAGTCAAGGAAAACAATTTTTTCCCCACCCGGGAGGCAGGACTCCCGTGCACTACTGTACTGGGGAGAAAATGGCAGAAATGCAAGTTCTAACACGACATATGGGAAAAAGTTTTCACAGTGAAAGTGGTTAAGACTTTGGAACAGGCTGTGAGACTTCCAGCCATGGACTTTTAAAGAACTTGTATGGACAAGAACCTGAGCAGCCTGATCTAACTACTAAACTAATCCTGCTTTGAGCAGTACGTTGCACTAGATGACCCCCAGAGGCCCTCTTCAACCTAAATTACTGTATCATTAAGTGAAGATCAAGACAGGTAAGCTGACCTCTTCGCACCCACGCCTAAAACATAGTCAGTATTCTAGTCCTTAAAAATGTTACGCTCAAGTGAAGAAGTAATACAGTTTGGATCACTTTTAATAAATGAGATACAGAAAAATGTGCATCTACTACCTGTGTAGACTGGAGAATGGAGCGAGTCTTCCTTGTGAGGGGAGAATTAAATGTCTTTACAGCTACCACTTCTACTACTGCATTCCCGCTATACAGATTAAACATCTCATCTGCAAACTGGAAAAACAAAAGTGATTTAATTTAAAACCTACACTGTAGCCAGGAATTAAGCAGAGTTTTGTTAGCAAGTTGTACTAAACCCTAAGATGTCACCTTCAGGAATAATTATGGAAAGTTGTAAAAATTTAAACTATTTTAGAATTCCACTAAGAAAGTGCCAACTTTCACCTGGTTTACAACATCTCTTTAAAACCGCTCAAGCACTGTTCAGCAGACTGCAGCTTATGACTGTTTTCTGGGCTGAAACTCGTTCTTTCATCCCTTTTACAAAAAGGCCCACCGCCATATAGTTTCCCAATTGTATGTCTGTCAGTTTCAACGAAATATTTAGGTTCTCAACCTTCCACTGGGAAATTAATGCTTTTACACTTTTCCATCATGCTTTTGAAACTCTCAAAAGCGAATGGTCTTAATAAAGATTTTATCGAATGATTACATAAGACCTGCTAAAGAATTACTTTGTTGAGCACATTGATAGATGAACAGCAGTTATTTTAGAGGCTTGGAAAAACAGCTTTGTGGGCAAGGGGAAACTGACCACTGTACCATGGGATAAAGATATTTCCACATTTCTGAGAGCCAGTTTTTGTGAGACATACTGGTGGCTTTAAATGCAAGATATTTATTTCAGAAAAACAAACATATCGAGTCATGTTGATATACGGCTTCAATATATTCCTACTCCTTCACGCAAAATATCTAACACATTGTAGAATCATGTCAACACTTTCCAGAGTGACAAATTGTAACATTCAATTTTACAACTGAACAACTGCATTTTAAAAACCAAACAACAAAAACAAGCATCAGGCAAGCCATCACTAATGAAGTGACAATTCAAAGCAGCAGATAGTCAATAAACTCCCTTGTAGTTAATAGAAAAAATTATTTCCTTAGTATTCCTGTGGGTTTTGTTCATTAGGTAGAAAGCATACCTTTTGCAAAGAGTCTACAAGAATTTGAGAAGCATCCTTGAACTGCTGTGAGTCTTCCCCATATCGTTTTCCAACCTCTTCCAAACCAGCCAGTTCCAGAGAATACAGGTCTGGAGAGTGATCTTTGGCTAAGTGCTTGTGTCGAGACAGCTTTGGCACACCATTGAGGGCAGAAAGAAATTAATTCACACACAGGTTACTTTAAAAACACATTTCACAAAAATCAGTTTGCTGGGACTAATCCAGCTACACTTTCCACAGTCATATTCCATATTGACTAGGAAGTGGAATTTCTTGCCAACTTAACTAGAAGATGTCCACAATTGTTTCTTTCCTTACTCTACAGAAGGAAGCAGATGATCATCAGGTAGCATCTAATCCTAACGTGAGGTTATACACATGTAGTATATAACTCTACTAAAGTAAAGAAACATTAAACTTATTCACATCAGAATCCTTGTTCTGTGACTGCCATAAAAATAAAGCTTGGAGAAAAAAAAAAAAAACAAACATAAACTATAATACTTGGATACTACTATTCCCTCTGCTGAAGCTGGCCCTTACAAAACTAAGTAGGTTGCTCATGTACAGAAGTAGTTTACTTAAGGAGTATCATCCCATTGTCATAAAATCCAACCAACATAATCCAAATTATCTCAAAGGAGAGTAACGATATTCTTGCACTTCTGCAGGTGTGAAGCTGCAGTACTGACATTTGCCTGCATAAGAGAACAGTCTCTGAAAGCAAGGAATTTAATCTGTTCGTATCTTCCCATCTACTTTAACTACAGCATTTCTAGTCTGCAAGACAAAACCAAGTTGTTCTACCTCCTCTTCTCAAGAGCCCCATTTCTCTCCACCAGCCCTTCAACTAATGTGAATTTCCAAGTTTTTCATGACTGTATCTTTTACTTTAAGTAGCTGAGGGCTGCAGCGTAAAGGACAAAAAAAAAAACCAACCAAACCCAAACCACACAACAACACAGTAGCTTCTTAGTAAAGAGATCATTAAGAATTAAAAACTCACCCTTCCACTGAAACATTTCTATCACCATCACTATTCACGCTACAAAAGTCACTCCAGTCTTTTCAGTTAAAATGTTACAGTGACATTTTGAAGTAAAATGGTGGACAGGGCAAAGAACATGTTCTTAAGTACCATTATACTTCTCAAGTAAGAAAACAAGGAAAGCCCTGGCAAATTCTTCATTGAGTACTTCCTGTGTCTTTGGGTATGGAGAAATAACAGCTCAGAATTCCCATTTGCACCAAACACAATACAAAAGAAACTACAGATGATTAAGGTTCTCATTTTCTTCTGCCAGTGACAGGGCTGATACAAATAACCTGAGAATGCACTATTTAAACTGATGCAACCAACTGATGACACACTTGAATATCTATCACTGACTGCCAAGTATCCTGGTTACAGCTTCTCTACCTTTAAATGAGATGTCTGAAGTTTGTGACATAAGACGGGGAAAGTGTTTCAAAAAAACCTTACCAGGCTTGCAATATCATGTAGGACTTGTAGTTCTGACAGAAAAAGCAAGTCAACCTGGAGGAAGAGGCAGAAAGAAAGAGACAGGTATTTCCTTTGATGAAACCAAAGTTAGGGAAGTCTCATTTTGTTGCAAGTCTCAGTATTTTATAACAGGTTATGTCTGTTACAGCATCAGAACATGCTAGGAGGAAATTACTCTTTCAATAAAGTTACTTACAAAAAAACTTAATTCTTAAAATTCAGTCAGAAAAAATTAGAGTGGGCTCTCTTAGGCAAAGCAAGGGGAAAAAAAAAGAAGAAAGAAAAAAGGAAAAGCACAAGTTAACTAAGAATACTAGAAAAAAAAAAATCACAAAAGTTCCCACTGATTAAAGTTTTTTACCTCATTGTTTCTGCTGAGGGAGTTGAGAGGAAGGGAGCTGAGAATAGAGTTGTCCTGGAATAAGCGGTTTCGCAGTTGGCGCAGCGTGACAGAAAGATCTTCAAATACGGAGTTTGCCTTGCCCACCATGTACACTCTCTGCAGGAATAAACATTGTTTAATAACAACAGAGGTTAGTTTTTCCAGTCACACATTAGTAATCAGTCATACTTGCAATCTCTCTCCAATGCAAAATATTTCATATAATCAGTTGGGTTTGCTCCAGCCACACAAGTGGAAAGAGGTTTACTACTTGCAACATCTGGAATCAGAAGTGAAGCAATACTCACTTCCTCACTGGGGGCCAGCTGCAAGACCACAGGAGTTTCCTCAGAGAACAAAGTATGAATAGCGTTTGCAACACTGTCAAGACTGAAAGGAACAGCCTGGAAGACAAAGTCTAGTTAGTTTTTTGGGTAAAACGGGGCCCAACGATGTAAGAGGAGATAACTTGCTTAACTACAGAAATCTGCAAAAATAGGACAACTCCTTTCTGAGCAAAGAGTGTATTTTGAAAGTGATAATAACAATAGGAGCCAATGTGCAAAACAAAACATCAACTGTGTATCTATGAACAGACAATTTATTTGTATATATGGCAGACACAATATATTTTTTAAGAACTCCAAGGGGCCATGACTGTGTAATTAAGAGGCTTACTTAAGCTAAGAGTATAGCCTTGTTTATCAGTAAAGCAAGACCAACAAATACAGAAGCAATACAAAAGGGAAAACCAATCTTAGTCCAAATGCAAAGTTATGAACCACAGAAAACTGATGAATGAAAATATACCATCAGAAAGACCAACTGCTAAAACACTAAAGAAAGGAGCCATATAAAAAATTGCTAAGAATAAAAGAAATCCTAGCACAGTATAGCGTCATTACTGGCAAGCTAATAACACTGTTAGTTTTTCTAAACACTTACTTCTGCGTTTCATCTAAACAGAAGTAGAATGGCTCATTTCCATTCACTAGTTAAAGAGCATAAAAATATTTTTTCTAATAAATTTTAGTAAGTCTGTAAACTAGGATAATTTGTACCCAGTGGTCCCGAACATGGACTCAGTGATGATCATTTGAAACTATTTTTGAATATCAGAGAACCAGTACTTTGCCAGCATACATTTGGGGCAGCTCATCTGAAGACATGGCAGCAGTTAACTGAAACAATTAAAACTTAGGAATATTAATTCCTATTAATGGGAAATAAAGAAAATATGCATTATGTACACATCAGAACTTTATCAAAGTTACAAGTGCAAATACGACTGAAGACTTCAAGTATATTTAAGGTTTCCGCAAATTAGCAATGCCTACATGGTCAGGTGCAGACAATCCTAAATCAGTTTTGGTCCAGATACCATTTCAGCAATTGCCAACATGTAACTGTGCCTGACCTAGTGAATTGTGCTTGAAAGCTGATGTGAAAGCAGATCTGTGTTAAGCTGAATTTGACCTGAGTTCAATATAAAGCCACATAACATTCCAATTAAACGCTAATATCTAAAATAGACTAAAAGACTGCCTGATAGCTGCAAAAGTAATTTCCTAGGGAAATTATCACCTCATCTTGGGGTGTGCAATAGGGTGTCAATATTAAACAAAACACTATTCAACATTGTCACTGATGATGCCACAGTTTGACTGAAATAATAAAATGATAAATAATAATTCTTAATAGGAGCACAGCAGTCACACAGAGACAAAATGCATGGTAAACTGGTGCAAAACAAAGTTTTCCAAGAGAGGCAGAAGCAGAATTAACTAACTAGAAATAACCTGAAAAACAACAGCTCAACATGAAGAACTAGTCCAATGCTGCAGCAAAATGGATTAAAGCAGACAATATATTATAAATGAGCAATGAATAGACACTGTACAGCTACCAATATTGTGTAAGTTACTGTGTTCCTGTTAAGATATGTGTGGACAAAATCATATGACAGGAGAAGAGGCAATGGGCATTAATTTAAAAACAATGAATTCTATCTGAATACAAGAAAACAGGTTTTTACTGTAAGGGTGGTCAGATACTGGCACACGTTGCTCAAACAGATTGTGGAGTCGCCCATCTGTGGAGATACTCAAAACGCAACTGGACACAGTTCTGGACAACCTGCTCTAGCTGACCCTGCTTGATCAGGGGGTTGAACTAGATGATTTCAAGAGGTCCCTTTCAACCTAAATCATTCTATGATGCTGTGACAAGTGTGAGAAAAGAGTCTCAGCGAAGACAGACAGTGACAGGTAAATGTAGTGTTGTTTGTTGTTTTCTTTTTGATACAGTATAATCAAATTATTGTCTCAAAGTGCTGTACTTCACAGTCAAGTACTTGAGGAAAACTCACAAGACTGCTTAGAGGGCCATACAGTACATCAAAGAATCAACATCATATAAAATGTTATCACGCGCACTCAGCTGAAGCAAAAAAAGTAAAAGTTAATGATTCTGACTATGAATCAATATGTTAACATGGGAAGCAGTAGATTCTCTGCCTCTTGGTACAAACATATTAAAACTCGATGCCTTTCAAGGAGAACACACTTTGGGCAAACAAGTTACTGAACTCAACACAGGAGGCCCTGGGTAATCTTAAAGGCCTCTTACCTCTGTACCTTACCTAAAGGTACAGGAGTCTGAGTGGATTATTTATCTATACAGCCTGATCCACCATTCTAGGGGGGTATGTGAACTACAAGTGAAGTAAGAAATAAGTCAACATAAAGGACTACAGCAGACAGTCATGTACTTCTCATTAGATCACAAGAGTCACAGAAATCGTGTGATAGTTCCAAACGTGGATACTCACATTCTCAATAGGGTAAGAAATCCTTTTCACAGGTAGCGTCAGCTTGTCTACTCCTTTTACTGTTACCAGCACAGTAGCTCGTGGTCTGTGAAACAGATCACCCACTGCAAGCCCAGGCCAGGAAAGGTCCTATTACAAAATAGTAAAAAACCTTGTATTTCACAAGGAGAAAGAGAGGAGACCTCCCCAACCACTACAGCAAAATAACTTGTTAAATATCTCTGTGCAGGACAGCCTATTGGAAATTTCATGGGGAAGTAAGTTAACACTAGAATGTTTTCATCTTGAATAATGCTAAGTTAACCATGAAGAAACTGTTAGTTTAAAAGCTGCCAGTAACTTCATAGCAAAGTCTACACTGAGAAAGCATTATACATATTGGATATATCAAGAGTTATTTCCCATAATTAAATTAGACATATCATAGTCTGTATTTAACAAGTGAAGGCTGAATTTAAAACAAAAAAACCCAACCAAAATAAATATAAAAAAACCCAACCCAACCAAAAAAAGCCCACAAAAACAAACCCTTTTGCAAAACACTACAGAAACAGGTTTAGGCACATTAAAACACTAGCATCTTGATATTTTCAGCACCAGAAAGAAACGGGGGGAAAAAAGGGAGGTGGGTGTCAATCATACCAACTAATACTAATCTAAACTTGCAAATTTGCACAGAAACATAAAAAGATTCCTTAGTAGCTTACTACAGTTATGTATTGGTAAGAGCACAGTGAAGGCTACCTGGCCAGTTTATTCAGGCACAAAATACAAATTCATCTATTTGGAATGAATTCAAACAGTTTTCTCCATTTGTGTAAAACACACAACTGCTTGTTTAAGTTTTATGAAACCAACCAATTTATTTGGATTTTAGAATTAAATGTCATTGACATTATGATCTGTATCGCCTCAAAGAAACAGAAGAAAAACCTTTTAAAGCATCATCAGGGACAAGAAAGGGGTTCAGTTTTATCTTGCCTTAACAGGGGAGGAATGTTTTTGAGAATCCCCAATGTAGTAATGCATAAGAATTCTAAATTCCCTACAGTGCACCTACTGCACTGTCAGTTTATGTTCCTAGACTACAGCCCTGATGTAAACTGCAAAATGAGTGTTTGGGCCCTGCAGTATCCTCCATATAAGGGTTGGAAGCTGCCTACACGGTGATCTCTGCCTTAGTGACAATGCTGATAACTTTCAGTTTCAGGGTTTAACTGAATAGAGTAATTTAAACACTTCCTTCCCTGCCTGCTTCTAGGATTTGAAATAATACTAATAGAGAACTATTTCTAAAGGGTGCTACAGACCCATCACAGCAAATGAATTCCAAGCAGCGGCAAAGGCAAAGAGTGAGCACTGAAACACTTTTTTTCCATGATAACCACGTCATACAGCTGGATGACCAGTATGCGAAAAGTCAAGTGTTCAAAATGGGCCAAACCCCACTGTTTTGCTGTGTGTCTTCACATGCAATGCACACAATACCATGTGATGTATCATTTTTTTCTTGATAAAATAATCAAAATATACTTCTTAGGAATACTACTCATAAGAGTTTGTTACTAGTTCAATGACAAAAAAGCATAATTAATTGACAGCAAGATATTTTCAGACAAATTCCAAAACACGGGCTAAACAGACCTGCATTCAAACCAGACTTACCAGACCTCTTGCCTAGCTCCAGTATGGAAGAAATGGGAACCAGCCTACCTCACCAGCATTGTGAGAATATCACAGCTTTTAGCTTTGAGTATCTGGCCACACACAGACACTACTAGAGACGCCTGGCTATTACGCTTTCATGTACTGCTTCAACAGCCACTCATCCCTGCTGAAGCCCAGCAAAAAATTCAGTAGGCAAGATGGAATCAGTCCAAGGGCTCCTACTCATGTGCCCCACTTTAAACACCACTAAAGCTATATTCAAAAACCTAATTTGGGAAAACACTACCACAAATTAGGTTTTCAAGTCTTTGGATTACTTCCTATGTATCCTATCTACTTGTTCTTATTAACTATCCTCAGCAGACAAGCTTGCTGACCTGACAAAATGCCTGCCTAGTCAAGGGATTTCTCACAATCTTCAGAGTACCCAAGAGCAGAGCCCTACAGATAGCTCATAGACAAGACATGACAGTGGTTTCCACAGATCCTCAGCACATGACCATGGATGGGGGGGATACAGCATGTAGTTGGGTCTCAGAGGAACTGAAGAACAGCAGTGTAAAGACTCTGCAGGCTTGCTTCCTTCTATAGCTGATGATTCAAATTAGCCAGCTAGCACAGCCTTTTGCTGCTCATATGACTGATACAGCTCTATGCTTAGAAACCACACTCTGACAAGTCATGCATTCCTCAAGACAAACAGGATGATATTTTATATATTCCAGCACATGACAGGAAGATTTGCATGTTAAGTGAGCAGGTCTGTAGTTTTAGAGGCATTTCAAAATCAAGACCTGAAACATACATCTTCAACAGAAAAGCCCATGGATAATGCAGCTACATCTGGGATCCGCTCGCCAGGAATGGGCCAACTTCCATCTCGAAAAACAACTGACTGAGGTGATCGTAAGACACTAAATTCATCACCGCATACACCTAAAAAAACAAACATAAAAAGCTGTCAGATGTCTTGCAATCTTTCCCTTACATAACAGAGAAAAAGAACATATTAGAGCTTTCATTCCTCCTTCTTCCCTCTCACGCCTATCAGTTTATGTAATGCAAGTGATGAGAACTGATCGTTTTAACGCTCTGGAATACAAAGTAAGGTTTCTATACACCAATAATTAAGGATGGACAAATCCACATTAATGAAAGCAGGACAATTATTCGAGCCACAGCACAGTACACTTCTGTGTACTCAGCAGGTTGTGAGCAGCGTTACAGTTCAGATATGGTAAAGCTAACTCTCAGTAGAGCCAAGCAGACTCCAAAATCCTGTTAGCCCACAAGCAGCTATGCACCAACACGGCTCTGTTTGCTTCCAGGACTGCTTGGCATAACACCTCTTTTCATGCAGACAACAGGCTGAGCCACTGAACCCAGAGCCAGGAGGATCAGCAGTTTGTCAGTGCTGGCTTAAACAGAGCACTGCCAGGAACAACCTGGCTTCTGCAGAACAGCTCCGGTGTCTCTGCTCTGCCTTCCCAACCACATGACGTTGTGAGATGTTTTTCTTCCTTGGATGCGGTACTGGACCTAAGCTGACTGTGTGAAGCCACAGTCTGCAGTATTTCTCATGTTGGGTTTTCACTTATTTGGGATCCCCCTTCACTCTCTTCGCCATTACCTCGAACAGCAAAGTTGACTAAAAGCACATTTCTAATCTGTATTACGATGACAGTAATTTACTGTGTAATAAAGTCAGAAAGGACTCCACAGAAATAACAGAGAGGCTTATTTCAACCTAGCTTCCTATTTTAAAGTCACTTAAGCATAACTGCAATGCTGCATACACAAACATTTATCTAAATAAATTTTAAAACGTATTTGGTGTATATAAGCAATAACATGCACACAGCAAAATTTCAGGTGTATCCCCCCAATGAGCAATCTGTGTAGGTTTCTAACAGAAAACTAATGTGACACAAGACTTGAGAAAATCAAGTAAGAGAGCAATAAATATCTGCAGCCCATCTAAGCTGAAGTTCTAGTTACACAATCAGTCTGACTGCATACTTCAAAATTACATGAATAAGATAACAGTCTAAAGAAAATACTAGTATTTACTCATATGATCACTGAAAATTAGCTACCAATCCAAGCAGCTACATACAAGAGTTTTCCAGGGCATCTACAAATCTGAAGGCTATTTACAAAAATAATGCAATAGTAAACTGATGTGTTGTGCAGTTATAATCTTCCTTAACATTAATTTAACCAATGTGACCTTGAAGATGCTGTTTTAAAGCCTGTATGCATGACCATGCATACAAATGTTGACAGTAAATCTGAGCTGTGTTATGATAAACATACTAAAGGAACAAAGTACTGTGATGCAGGTTCGGGAAGGGTGGCAAAAGGAAGGACACAGGCCAAACCGACAGAAGTATATGGAGTAGATTCAAGCGCTTTTTGTTTTAAATTGATATGTGTTCATTGGATGGCCTGCTATCACTTTTAATGGCGTATCAACCCACATTTTGAAGGACAATGTTTCCAGACCAATTTGTTTAAGAAGGAATTTACGAAATTGCTACAAATAGTTTTGCTCCGTCTGTAGGATTTCACCTGTTGCTCTCCACAAGGCTGTAAGACAGTCACACATGTTATTTAGGACAAGTTGGCTTACTTAGGACAGGATTGCTTAGCTGGATAAAATTAGGGCACTATCCTTTTCAAGGAAATTTACCTTGCTAGACTTGTTCAAGATCTCAATGATTAGAACTGAATTTGAACTTGGGAACACAAGCGTTCTCCTCAGACACACTATAATTGCTTGACCACAACACCCCTGTAACTGCTTGACCACACTAGGCCACATGCGCAGTGAAGTCTAGAGAATAAATTCTGAGATGCAATTAATCCTGCTACTGTTACCCACCCACCTACGGAAAACTTAATCCAACTTCTACCTTACCGAAGTTCTACCTCAGTAGAACTTCGGCCCTCAAAAGCCTTTGTGAGCCTGGACCGAAGAACGAAGGTACAATGAGCGAAGACTATTTATGGGGCCTGGAAGCCTGAAGCGCGGATCACAAGCCTGACTCACAACGATCACAAAAGCAGCTCGGCAAAACACGAAAATTTCCTACGAGGCAACGAAGCCCCGAAAGGCTCCACGGAGCCCCGTGCTGGGAAGGGAGAGGGCAGTCTCCCAGCACCGTCTCCCAGCGGCGGTGGGGGGCCGGGGGGGCAGCCCTCCGCTCCCACCTCTCGCTCCTGAAGCCGGTGGGCCCGCAGAGGGGCGGGAGAAGCCCCGGAGCTACCTGCGGGGGGCCGGGGCTCGCCCTCCGAGGGTGCCCCAGGCGCCACAGCGCGCCCACCAGGGCCGCGCGCGTCACACCCCA